TTAGAAGATTCTGGCTTTGTATATTCCACCACTGTCTTGGCCATGGTGAGTGCAGTGGAAATGTCTTTGACACCCCTTCGTTGTAGCTCCAACTGTGCCCACTGCTTAAGACTAGTTGTGAAGTTGAAAAGCAAGTCATCATCACTCATATTACGAATTTGAAGCATTAACCCGAAGAATTCTTGGACATAGTCTTGGATAGAGCGGGTGTGCTTCAACTCCCTCATTTTCAATCGGGCTTCATGTGCCACATTTTCAGGATAGAATTGCCTCATTAGTTCATTCTTAAATTCTTCCCATGAAGAGATAGTGCAAGTGCCTTCTTGGAAGAGAGCTAGGAGAAGATTGCACACAGCTCTTGGAGAATGTTTGCTTTGTATTGCTTTGGAATGCTTTGGATTACTTTTGGATGGTTTGGGCAAATGAGGCCCTTTCCCTTTTATAGGTTACAAAGAATATTCTAGAACTATAATGATGGAGAGTGTTTTAAACACTTCCTCCAACTCTATTTTATAGACTATTCTAGAATCATTCTAGAATGTATATATCTAGAAGGGTCTACAAATATCTACAACTATGTACAAGTCTCTACAAAACTCTAGGGAGTTCTAGAAGCTTCTAGCATTCTCCATAACCTCCCAGGGCTTTCTTGTGAGGGATAGCATCAAGATTTGTCAGAATGTGACACTAGAGATCAGCTAAGGTCCAAATTTTTTTTGAGAGGTTTCTTTCGGGCTTCCAATCAATGCAGGGATCCTGTGGCTGCACCCAATATAGTATCTATGACTTGTAGTTGGTTAAGTAATCAATCTCTCTCTCTATCTCTCTCTCTCTCTCTAAACAACAGATGCTTGATATATGTGTGAAAAATGATTGCTATACATGTATGTTTGATCAACACTATTCCCAAAAGCTTAAGCTGTTAGGAAAGCAACATTGCATATCAAACTCCCTAACAGCATACATATATGCATATAAATAGATGTACAAACATATGTCTGTGAAGGGGGAGAGAGATGGAGTGTTAGGTCTGGTTGATCGTTGGTTCTAGGTTTAATAAGATGAAAGATATAGAGTTAGAGCAGATTTAAATAGGGCCAGCAAAACAGTCTTGCCTATCATTTGTGTTTTGCCTGTAATCCATTTGGAGAATTATAAAAAAATTATGGGGCTAATTTAAACATTTTGCGGGAAAGAAATTTTTTTTTGTCACCCTTTATGCTTTCACTCTAGGCCACATGGGGATAAAATTAATTAATATGAAGGGGTAGTTATTAGCCCCTCCAGCATTTGATTGAGCTTATAGTTGCTTGATTTAAGCTGTTAAACACAGTACTGTGCAATGTTCAGCATGAGGTCACCTGTATGTGGTCATTTGCTTATATTTTTGTTATGCTTTTGATGTTGTTGCTCTATTTGTTCTCAGAGAAAGCTACACATGTACTTATCTAACTGATCCAAATTGTATAATTTTCCACATTTCGGTTTCCTTGTGCCCTCGTTAAAAATAAAAAGAAAAGGAAAAGGAAGAAAGAAGAAGAAATGAAGAAGAAGCTTTCATGCATTAACCTGTCACATTTCCTTGATTTGAAACAGTCCAGGCATTATGTTATTGATATTCAATAGAGTTCAAAGCCATGTTCCTTTGAAGATACTATCAATAGAAGATGGCACTGTTCTTAAAGACTTCAATCATTTACTTCATCGCAATAAGAAGGTGGACTTCATAGAACAATTCAATGAAAAGCTTCTAGTCAAGCAAGATAATGAGAATCTCCAGATTCTTGATGTACGATCAGATTTTTCATTTTCTACATCTTGTTGACAGCTGTAACAGTCTGTATGCCTGTGTTTGTGACTGCCCGTTTGTCTTTGTAGGTGCGCAATGCTGAACTTAAAGAAGTTAGCAGAACTGAGTTCAAGACTCCATCAGCTTTTATCTTTCTTTATGAGAACCAACTGTTCCTGACATTTAGAAATCGAACTGTTGCTGTTTGGAACTTCCGCGGAGAGCTTGTTACTTCATTTGAGGATCACCTATTGTGGCATCCAGACTGCAATACTAACAACATTTATATAACGAGTGATCAGGATCTTATTATTTCTTACTGCAAGGCTGATTCCGATGATCATTGGATGGAGAGAAATGGTAAATTCTGTGTACTTATCTTGTTATTAACGAATGGCAGCCAGAAGACCATGACACCTTGTGGTTAGAGCTGGGAATGGTCCAGATCCCCTTTCCATGCCCAAACCCTCCCCCATTGTATGTTGGATTGAAAGTCTTTCAGATTATTTAAGCACATTTTAAGGAATATCTAAAAAATCATATGAACTTCTCAGATTGTCATATAGGCACGTTCATATTAAATTTTTAGAGCATGAACACATTGGTGGTGTTTCAGCCTGAAAAAAAGGGCTGGAGGACCAAACGTCATTATTTTATTTTATTTTTGTTGAGAAATTCATGTTCTTAGTTTTTCCATTTGAAACCTCTAGAACGTTCATCTGAGATATGTTATGAGAGTGACCATACTTTTAAAGAATGATTGTATGCTATTATTATGTTGAAACATATGTTTCCCTGAGGCACATTCGTCAGCAGAAATAGGGTAATGATTACGTTTGTGATCTGAAGTTTGTTGCCATAGTTTGAAATCAGGAAGGGGAATCTATTACAGTACATTGGGTTCTTTCTCACTGTTTCTTATTTGGTGTAGCTGGGTCTATCAATATCAGCAATATCTTGACTGGGAAATGCTTGGCTAAAATAAATGCGGGCAATGGCAGTCCTAAAGTTGATGAGTACTACAGTATTGACAGCAGCTCAAAGAAGCAACATCACTCTTATCATATGAGAAACACAGTTGCGGAGGCATTAGAAGACATAACAGCCCTTTTCTATGATGAAGAACGAAATGAGATCTATACTGGTAATCGGCATGGTTTGGTTCATGTGTGGTCTAACTGAAGATCATGCGACTTTTGTACATGATGCTATGGAATTGTGTTTCCAGATGATAATGATCATTTCATTAGGCTTCCCCTATCTAACTTTTTGATGTATTGTATCATTAGACAACTTGAAGTGTTCACTCAAATTTGCCTTCTGTATATGTATATTTGGGATATATTTGGGGATATGCTTGTTTGACATGTAATGAAGGCGATAAAAAGTATCAGAGCTCTGGGCAACCTGCAGGATTTACATATGTACTCATCTTATGCACAATGTTTTCAATTTTATTTGATGATTCCTACGCACTGAAATGTAAATTGTGTTTGGATTTATATATTTTAAGTAAAAAGATTTAGGCACTAATCATTTAAAGCATAGCTCAAAGTTGAGACTAAGGGTTTAAAATATTGATTTCAATATTAAATTTGAGTGCTATCATGATGAATTTAATGTTAAAAAGATTATCTGAAACCTTTCACATTAAGGATTATAGTTGTACAAATCTTTGTTTGCAAATAGGAATTGGCGGGGAGAACAGAGAGGAAAGAGAGAATCATAGAGAGATTGAAATTCTCCAATGAGATTGTCCTTCAAAACAACCAAATACAGGACCATGGTGATCATAGTTGTTGTCCAAACTTGGGAGAAGGCTATCAAAAAAAACAGAAGAACAGTTGCCCTAATATTATTGTGTCAACTGCAGCACGACAGTGCCCAAACTGAAATTGTACTAGGCTGCTGAAAATACTCTTGACTTGTAATTTTTTTCGACACTAACAAGGAAATATATTTCCAGTGCACATTGTAACCATGTACAAGTCAAAATTTTAATTTGTTGCACTTGAACTAGTTATCAGAAACCTCAATGAGAGTTGGCTCATAGTCACTAGCAGCCTCAAACCCATGGAGGTTCATCACAGTTGCAGCCACATTTGCAAGCCCACCATCAGGAACATCCTTGCGGAATCTCACTCCAGGCAGCAATCCAGGACCTCCAATTGCTATAGGCACCTAAATAAGATTACCCAGGCAATTTATTAGCAACTTTGGAGCTTGATTAAACCAATTTAATAGCACAAACGGAACTCAAATTATATCAAGCAAAATACACAGAACAATATTGTGCTGCATAGCTCACATGCAAAGAGGCAAAACCATAAAATTGCTGTGAAACGAAACCCAAGACAAGATTCACACAATCTGATCTAATGATGTTAATTGTGGGCCTAATTACTAGCCACATGATCTTGAAACGTTTATGACTTGCAGTGTGACAAGCATTATCTAGCAAACCAAGCGCTGCCAAGTTATTCTCAATCAAAATGACTAAACCTGAAAAGGAGCTGCCCAATAGTAACCCAAGCAGTAGTTCACGATTTGCCAATTGTAGACAACCACAACTGGAAGGTGATTGCCCAACAATATAATTTATCCACTTCCAGCTATCAAAGCAGGTGTTCTGAGATTTCCCCTTGTCTTTTATTTCTCTGTGGTTTGCCAAAAAACATGAAGAGTACATAATGCTTACCGGTTGAAGAGTGTGAGATGTAAGTATTTGAACATTGCCATTCTTGTCAAGAAGAGGCTCCCCTTTCTTGTTCTTCTTCACCATGTCCTCAGCATTACCATGATCAGCACTGACAACATATATCCCACCCACCTGCTCTATTGCATCAAGAATCATCTGCAGTTGGGGTTTGGATAAAGATCAGTACAATCAGCAGAATTGGTCAGAGTCCAACATATAAAGAGAGAAATTCAAGGAAGGCACCACTGAAGATAGACCTGAACACAGTCCACATGTTTTTTGTGATAACTGATAAGGTTTCATGAAGCTTAATTATCATTTTGCTGCTTAACAGATTTCCAAACTCAATTGATCATTTTACAAGATAACTAATCAATTTCAGGGAATGCAATTGGAGAATCAATCAACTCTTATAATTAAAAAAAATACTCATATTGTACAATTTAACATTATTGCAGCCACACTACGTCCAATGCCTAGAAGCACAAAACTTAATGCCAATTGAAATAATTCAGACTACAAAGCGATGTGGAACAGGCTATTCAAAAATATTAGGGCAGAATACATAGAAATACAAACCCATCATACCTTCACAGCATCATCAGCCGCCTTGCAAGCCACAATTGTGGCCTCAATGTCACCTGTATGGCCCACCATGTCACCATTTGGTAGGTTAACGCGCACCTAAAAAAAAAGTGAAAAAGCGCAATGACAAAATATACAACCTGAACTTTTTTTTTATTTTTTATTTTTATTTTTATACCTGAGATAAGACAGAGAAGCCTTATGTTACCTGGTGGAATTTTCCGCCAAGTATAGCATCCCTGGCCTTCTCAGCAATCTCTAAAGCCTTCATCTTTGGTTGGACATTGAATGGGATTCCAGAGTCACTTGGGATTTCCACATATTCTTCCATTTCTTCATTAAAATACCCTGACCGATTTCCATTCCAGAAGAAAGTAACATGACCAAATTTAACAGTCTCACTGTTAAGAAGAAAATAGATAAGACATTTCTTTAAGAAAAGAAAAGGGAGAAAAGACAGAATTAATTGAAAATAAGTTCATTAGTGAATTTTTGCAACAATGCATGAACCCAGCAAATAATATGACATAACATCTAATTCATTTAAAGATGACTTGAGAGATTAGACATTCTCAGAGGATAAACACTTTAGTGATCTCCAATCCATTCATATAACCTCATTTCACTCACCCTTATTAATAATGATGGATGTCTCTTTCCATATACTGGGTACTAATCACAGAAGCTTTCTGCATGCAAAAATTATCAACCATAAATATGGATTGAATGAGGGTTTAGTATGTTATTTTCTGAACATAAGTTGAAATTTTCATCAAGTTCATTGAAGATAATGGAATCCTAATAATTCATTCAACTGATTATAGGGTTTACCATCCAGTCTACCATGTAGAAGGGTTCGACAATGCATAAGCAGCTTAAGATAGCATTGAGTCACGCATATAAAATTTGTGAATAATGAAGATTCGTTTATGTGAATTATGAAGCACATGAATGGTTCTCTCCAAGAAATAATGACATACATTGATAGTGCTACAATAAAATCAGATAATCAATTGGTGCCAACTAACCTGCAAGCAAAAGTTCGGACACCATTGTGCACCAAATATTCACCAGATGTCCTTTCTATCTCTGGAGGAGAAACAAGGTAGTGGCTAGGAAGCTTCAACTCACCATCATACTGAAGCATTCCAGCATAATGGATTTTAGGGAACCGAACTCGATCAAATTTATCGAAGTCTTCATATTCAAATGCTTTAGCAGGCATAACCATGCGATCTGCACGAAAGTTGAATGTCACAACAGCATCACCGTCTAGAATTGGGCCCACAGCCAGCCCATTCTCATCAACAATCACGAAAGGAGGCAAGTACTGGTCATTAGCATTGGCTTCCTCCCTCAGTTTCTTAACAGCCTCAAGAGCATTCCTAAACTTGTATGGGGCTTCACCAAGAACTTGGGCATCCCATCCACGTTTCACAACACCCCAATCATTCTGGGAAGCATCCAGCCACAGGAGTTAATTCATATCCTTAGATAATTGAGTTAATGAAACAGTAGCTTCACAGGATATACACAATCAGGCTTCATTGATTACAACTGGGGGAAGGTTAGACATGTTTGTGATACAGCAAACTCAGCTGCGTGGACACCACTGAATGATTGTATTGCATATCTGCTCTCTTTTTCTGAAGCAAGGTAGCGCCTCCCTCGGTGTTGCTACCCATTCAAAATCAGTGCATCACAAATCCATTGCACTGTAAACCATTGTGCTAAAATATGAAAATGACAGTGTATTTCCATTTAACTATAGAGAGCGGTACAGAGATTTGGAAGATGCAGAAATGTCAACATCGTTTGTTGCAGAGACCAAATTAGATTTCAAGAGGGAGACACTCAAGGGCAGACTACCTTGCCCTAGAGATAAAAAAAGGCAAAACAATGCCCACATCAACACTGCAGGTATAAACTACTAACAAAAATTACATTCAGATAATGCACGTCAAACACAATTATTGCAAACCTCCACTATTAGAGCAATTGCAATTCGTTCCAGTCCTATGCATTTGCCAAAAGATAGTCTAGAAGGTCTATCAAATACATTGCTAGACGAAATATCAAACACTGAACTATAGAGTCATAAAAAATTTACCTCATAACGATCCATTGTAACATACATGCGACCTCCCCCGGATGCAATCTTGGCATCAACACCTTTCTCACGTAATTTTGAGAGATCATTCTCAAGGGTTTCTACAAACTCCACACTTGTACCATCCAAGACATCACGGCCATCAGTAAGTATATGAACACGGATTCTCTTAGCGCCATGCTCACTTGCACCTTTGAGCAATAACTGCACCCCAAAAATTAATAATAACAATAGTAAGTAATCACACTAAGAGAAGATCAACTCAGGAAAAAAATCTCAAAATGAGTCTTTGACAACAAAGCATACCTGCAATTGATCAAGCCGGGAGTGGACACCCCCATCACTTAATAATCCAATGAGGTGCAATGTACCATTTTCAAAACATTCCTTTATGTACTTAAAACCTTCTCCTTCGTAAATTTTTCCAGAGGCAAGAGCAAGGTCAACAAGCTTTGCTCTGAAAAAAATAAAAAAACCCATAGTTAGTGACTCACTTTGTATACAACACAATCACACTTATTATATTGACTAGTAAAATCATATTGTATTGACAGTACAAATCACACATTGGGAAGAAAAAGAAAATATAGATATAGAACAATCTACTACATATAGTTTGGACCAAATTCCAAAAGCAAACAGCTTTCTCCCACTCGTATCATATTTTAATTCACCTGGTACAAAATCAAAATGGATAGGCCCTATTTGGTGCAACTTGTTGGAGCAGATTATAAGGCTTTTTAATTTAGGAATCTAAGCTAGAATGTTTGGTACAACTTCTGCTTGTAACTTATGAGGCAAATAACTTAAATAAGCCAAAAATTTTATACAAAAAAAAAATAATAATAAAATAATTTGATTATGTGGAAGCTAGGGAGGAATATTTTTAGCTTCTGCTTTTAGATTCACTAAACAGGTCCATAGGTTGGAAAAGACCATCCAAATCAGAAGTAGGTGTTGGTATATGGGCTTACTCTTGATACGTGGCACCCCCTACTGTGCCACGTCATCTTCATTATGGATTCTCCCAGAAGCCTTATATGTGTCACCTCTAGCTAATGGACATGTGGACCAATCAGAAAGTCAAGCACTTGGACTGTGCTCGGCCCCTTGGCTTGCCAACAGCTCCACTGAGCCAAGTCTCCATCTTGAAGGATGACCACTCCACCTATGATTATTTGGTATGGGAGCAGGGCCTAGGTACCATGCTCAGGACCATAAAAGCACTTGTGGATTGCAGGATTAGAGGATAGAGTTCAAGGTTTGTCCAAGCACCCCCGATCTATCCCTTGAAGTGAAGGAAGCTTGTTTGTTCTCATCAAATGTGAAATCGACATTCTAAGCTTCAGTCATCGAACTTCTCACTTGAACCTGAGCTTTTTGCTTTTTCCTAGTCATTTAGTAGATTTTGTCCATGGAATATTGTTACAAAAGAGGTTCTAATTTTTTTTATATTTAAACCATGTCTTAGAATTAACTTTTAAGAATAACTCAAGACAAGCTATCCATATGCGTAATCCTCATATGCTTATGTATAAAAAATGTACAAGGCACACACGTCTCAAACTACGATGAGCTCTCGATGTGTTTTCTCTTTAGCCTCTCCTTGAGGCCTGTCTTGATGTGAGTATCAGTAAAGCCTTTTAAAACTTTGATTCTACCTATGAAAACATTCAAAAAAATTTATGAATGTGCTTAAAAAATTCATAATATTATCCAAACCAACTTGATTAAACGTGTAAAGAAACATCAAATACTTAGAATTGGAACCTAACCATCCTCACTGTACGGTTTTGGTTTGGACCGATCTGAAATAGTTGACCAGTTCCACCAAATATTTTAACACCCTTACTCATTGAAAGGAAAGAACACTATCAAGTATGGTCCACTACATAAACTTAAAACAAGAAATTCCTATGCCGCCTCAGGCAACAGTTGCAAATGATTATCAATGAGTATGAACTTTTTGTAGGTTAAAGCAGTGCACTAATCATAAGATTCATAACATTAAAACTTTTGACAAATCTACAGATTATTATTCTAAATGATGTCTGAAAATTTACACACGGAAAAAGGCCATATAAAAATAAAAATTGGAAAAAGGGCAGGACATCACCCCTGAGCAAAAATTCGTCCAGCACCAAGAGCATTATGACCAACTTCACTGTTGCCCATGTCATCATCAGATGGAAGGCCTACTGCAGTACCATGAGCCCTGACCAACCTCCACCTGTCAGGGACACCCTATAAAGTAAGACAGAAAATGAATGTGAAAGGATCATTTGTTAGGATAGGATAGGAAAGAGAATGTGATGTGAGGCTCCCAATCCCAATCAGTAAATATCTTCTACAATGCGTCTAATAATGAAAATGAAGAAACCACTTACTTAACGTGGCCAGATGAGATTTGTGACAAAAAGAAGTTAAAAAGCAACTGATGGGAGGAAAAACATTAACGGATACCAATAATAAATAACTTGGAATGGCTAATACGCAGAGCATGTGTTCAATGGAAAGTTTTCTTCAGTCCATTGCAACTACTTACTAGTACTCGTAGAGTTAGGGAGTCCTGAACATATAATAATCCTCCTCGAATCCTATTGATGGGTTATTTTACTGGAGTCCACTGCTTTAAAAGATCCAATTAGGAGGGGGTTAGGTGAACAAAATTGTTTTCCACAGTTGGGTATTGGTTATTCATATGGAAAGCAGAGATTTCAATAATAGGATGAAATGCATAGTGACAACAATAAATGTGGCATCCAGTCCATTCATATACATGAACTGCACCATTCACATGAATGAATTTCATCCACAAGAAAAACATGGCATGAGAAACTGCAAATACTACTACTGTGCTACTCTGAGAAGCAGAGTAAGCAATTTTGTGTGCGCAAGCTGATTTTTCAATATGAATCGAACTGTTGAGGAAGCTAGTCTCAAGTTGGTCAGAGAAAGAGTAACCTAATCTCTGAGACGCGGTGCATTTAGTGCCAAAGCATGGTGAAAAAAGAAGAGGGGTAGCACGAAACCAGAAACATGAAGAAGCAGAAGAAGAAGTAGAAGAAGAGAGACCTTATTCTTGAGGGAATCCATGGTGGGAGTGTCGGCGACATGAATGCAGTTGTAGGGATTGGGAGAGGCTTCGCCCCAGCCATCCAACACTACCACCGCTACGGTCTTACCCTTTGGCAGCTTCGGATGATCTGCCAGCTTCCACGTCAATCCTCCTCCTCCTCCTCCTCCTGAGCTCCCCATTCTTTCCTTCCACACACCACAAAATTACACTCCCACAGATGAATCAATCAATCACCAGAAATCACAAGACCCACACCCCAAGATCGATCAGTCAATCAAACAAACAAACGAGCAATGCCACAAAGTAATACAAGGAAGAGACCAAAGGCTAATTTGATGTTATAAAAGAGAAATAGTGTTTACTAGAAAGTAGTAGTAGTCGTATTTCTCTCTTCTTCTAAGTTGTATCTACCACCTTCTGGTTGCTTCCTTCCCAAGTCCAAGCCCAGTCCAAGCCTAATTCCAAGTCCACTACCAAGAAGCAAAATGCAGGGGCCTCCTGGCCTGCTGTCCAGGCCCGCCCAACACATACCCCCAAAAAGTGTCAGCAGCAGCGTCACAGCCCCCGTGCATCATCAAGTTTTCGTTAGGTATAACTAAAAGTCTCACTGGGTGCATGCTGCTGGTAGTAATGAGGAGGGGATCACCAATGGGAGAGGGGTGGGTAGGGCCACGGTTGCAAGCAGAAGATCGCCACTTGGAGAAGGGAGTTCCTGGAGGTAGAGGTGAGAGTTGCCAAGTGTGGAGATCCAAAGAAAGGGATATTTTTTAAACTACCGTAGGAGTTCAATGAAAAATAAGTAACAATTTTGATGAATGGAGATTCAAAGAAGTCGGATTCAAAGAAAAGGGTAAGGCTATAGCATATATTGGAATTGGGGTGCCTGTTGTGCTGAATGCACAGCAAGCATTGTTGTGTAGTTTTATAGGCTTATTACGGGATTTGTTTTGATAATTCGAATCGTTCACATTTTAAAATAAATTGAGTAAAATATACTTGTAAAAAATTAAATTAATCGGATATTGTTAATCTTTTTATCTACTCATATTTGTATCTTCAAAAATAAATGACATTGTGATTTAAAGTATTAAAATGAATATAAATATGAATGGATGAAAGGGTTAACAATATCCGATTAATTTAATTTTTTACAGATATGTTCTACTTGATATACTTTAAAATGTGAATAGTCCAGATTATCAAAACAGATATCGAAATAAGTCCATAAAGCTGCACAACAGTGCCTGCTGTGTTGGGTGCACAACAGGCATCCCAATTCCGCATATACTTAGGCCTCATTTGGCAAGTAATAGTATTAGTTTAAAAGTCAAAAAGTTACTAAAAAAAATCAAAAAAATGTATAATCTATACTAAAAAGTCAAAGATTTTTTTTTTCTCTACTTTTTGCACATTTTTTCGTAAAAAATAAAAAAAATCATTCCAAAAATACTAATTTTTTTTCTCATTTTTTAACTAAAAAGTTAAAAAATTATTAAAATAGCATGTTCCCAAACAAGTCCTTATTTTATGTTTATATATCATTATTCTAAAAAAAATTATAACTTGTATGGGTAAGTTTGAATTTTGAAGATGATAAGTGGCAAGATTGGAATAGCTAGAATAAGGCGATGTTGAACTAGGCCATACTTGAGATGGCGTTTATATTTTTATTATATAATGCAAGCTTGGCCTAAATACAATCTGACGTGATTGATGCCCACCCTAGGTTAGGTGATGATTATTCTATTTCACAATAGTTTGTAAGTGTGGGTTCAAGAACGTTGTCGGAAAATTCGAAACTCGCTGGAAACTTTGAATGTTCGTTGGAAAATTTGAAGGCTTGCTGGAAAATTAGAAGATCTGCCAGACAATGGTTGCAACTAGAAAAATATGGAGAGACTAAGATTATTCAATGGTCACAACTAATGGGAACTCACATAGAGAAGAGTTGATGGAAAGAAGAGGTTGCGTGAAAAAGAGGGCAAAGAAGTTACATAGAGATAATCATGGCAAGTTTTCATAGATCTCACTTTCACTTTTAAGGAAGGAATGAGAACTCCCAAAGGTTCTCTCTCTCTATCTCTCTCTAAAAATCCTCATCTTAAAGCTATGAGGAGTGCTACATATATAGGCAACTTAAATGGTGGAGTCCTATGTGCAAGGCACATGGAGAAATATTCTCTCTAATTACTTTGTTCGAGAATGTGACCTCTTTAAGGATGAGAAAAGTCCCGAAGATGAGATCAGCCTCTCGACGAACCCCTCTTCTTAGCCATACCAAACCAATGCTTCCTAATTATCCTAAAGGGTCAAGGTAGTCCTAGAGAACCCCCCCGCCACAAATAATGTCGAGTCTCAAGAACCCCTTAAATCGTGCCACCCTAACCCAGGTATAGGCTAGTTTAACTGAAGAGTGAATTTATCTCCACTCAACGTCCTCAAGATCGAGTCCTTTTGTCATGACTCAAACCTGCCCCTATAGATTTAGCATCGTAACCGACCAGTAATCCTGGGATTACCGAAGGCCTCTGAACAAATTAACAAAATAAGGGGCTAGCAGAAGCAATTATTCAAGCAATACTATCCATAGAGCTGTGCAGACATATATGAGGCAGAAAATTTAAAACTTATATTCACATAGATGTGACGTCATAACTATATACATCAGCCATACGTCACCCAAAAGCAGATAAAAAAAAACGGGGCTTAGCCCTATGTATAGTCAAAATAAAAGTCTTGTTCCAAAAGAAAAGGGAAAAGATAAAACAGACACCACATGCATTTGACTTGGACGTTTGAAACACTTGGGGACCTCTTTGGGAGGTACTGTGGTTGGCTTGACAAAACAGAATTCCAAGCAATAGTTTAAGTCTAGTTCCACACCTAATTGCCTATATACATAAATAACACAGTGAGCTGGAGCCTAGTGAATAACAACAAAGTAAAAGGGTTTATAATTGATGTCCAGAACAGATTCAAAAATCAGATTACAGATCAGAACAGATTTAGATTCACACGCTCCTACAGATTTCATAAACGGTTATATGTGGTACATCCATTAGTTAACAGGTCAGATTGGTCATAAAGATCCATATGCTTAGTCGGTTCTGACGACCATAAAGGTTAACATTTTTGTACGAATAATACTAGGAATCATGAAAAATATATCTGTAGACACCCCATTTTTAACCGTCCTCAAGACTTGGACGTCACCGTTTGAACACTCGGTGATCATCTATGTTCGTGTTTGTCTTGAGTTTTCGGAGGTCTCGGCTACGCGCCTTGCCTCAAGACCTCTCGACTTGCCTGTTTTGTATTTGGTTTTGCACCAAACACTTGTGTTTTGCTTCTGAGGAGCAGGGAATAGCTTGTTGGCCATCCCCATACCTCACTGGCCATGGATTGAGGCCACCGGTTGTGTTTTGTTGCCATCGGCCAAATGTTTGGCCGATCGACACTCTGTTTGGTCAGTCGACCATTTATTTGGTCAATTTGTCATTTTTGGCTGGCCAAGCACTGTGCATCTACTTTTGGTAGATATTTTGTGCCAACTGTGATAGCTGGCACCCACTTTGCACCCCCTCCATACACGTGTATGGAGGGATTTCACTCTTGCTTAGCTTGTTTTGTAAGCTTTGCATGAGTGATCCTCTATAAAGAGAGGTCTCCTTCTCCCTCCTTGAGGGTTACAAAAAAGAGTTCCAGAGGTCTGAATTAGGGTTAGGTCATGTGTATCTATCTATCTCTATATCTCCCTCTCTTTTGCTCTTTGTATGTGTTCAAAGGTGTTTTGTTCTTAGTTTTGCACTAGGACACCTAGTATCACACCTTACCTTGGTTGCTGAGGAGACAAAGGGGTGTTCTTGAAGTTCTTGATTTGATTCAAGCTTGAGGAAGTAGCTGGAGCTCAGTTCTTGAAAAGGATCTTCAAGGGTAAGAACTTTGCTCTTTGTTCCCCATTTTTGCATAGACTTTTAGCCATCCTTGCATCTGTTTTTAAGCTTAACTTATAACATATAAAAGTTCTGATTTTAAGTGCTTAAAATAGTTGTTTAAGGTTGTTTTGGTGTTTGGGGTTGTTTGACCCATCATAGGCCTTGCTTGGCCCCCATTTTGTGCTATTTTGGTGAGCTCCGGCACCACCTTGTTTGGGCCTCCTCACCACTGAAATCTTGAGGGATTTCAGTGGTGGGGATAGTGCTTTAAGGTCCTAAGAAAGGGGAGGGCCATCCCCTCTCCTTGTTGCCTTCAATATTGGCCATTTTAGCCTCATGTGTGAGCATCTTTTTAAGACCATGTTGGCCATGTCTTAGTGGGTATTTGGTAGTATTTTGCCATGTTTTACCTCTGTTTTAAGTTGGTTTGGACACACCATGCTTGCTTTGCATACTTGTCTTGTAATGCCATGAAATTGCGTTAACATGTATCTAGCATTTGGACCACCATGCTTGCATAGTTTGGCTTAGCTTTGTGAAGTTTTTGGTCATGTTTTAACATGCTTAAGGTCTGTCTTGGGCGTTTGGAGTCATGCTTGCCATGCTTCGTACAGCTCCTTTGCATTCTAGCTTACTAGCTTTGGGTATGTAGGTCATTAGCATGCTTTACTTGGCTTATTCTTATGATTTGGCATCATTAGAAACCATATTTCAGTCCATGTTCCATGAATGCATACTTGTATTTTCCATCCCTTCCATGCTTTGAAGAGTTGATGGCTTATGCTCCATGTTTAGGCCCTTGTGCACGCATCATTGTGTGTGTGTTTTCATGCCTTTGTGGCATCTTTTTGGCCACTGTTTTGGGCCTAGTATAGGGCTACCCAAATTAGTTTAAGTCCACTCTTTACATGTTGTTAAATGTCTTACACTTTGCATGCTTTGATTGCCTCATGTCTTGCATGTCCACTAGCTTGCATGCTTGTTCATTGCTTGCTTGTTTGCATTGCCATTGTGCATACTAGCTCACATGCCTAGGATGCATTGCATTGGCATGCATGCTTGGCCTCTTGACTTGAGTATGATAGAGGTTGAGCTCATTGTTTGTTTATGTGCATTTCATTCCACATTAAGTCTGGTTTTACACCAAACACTTGTTGTTTTGCTTCTGAGGGTGGGAAGTAGCTTGAAGGCCATCCCCACACCTCACCGGCCATGGCTTGAGGCCACCGGCCTTGTTTCCTTGCCACCGGCCATTGGTGATGGCCGGTCGGCACTATTGATGGTCGGTCGGCATTGTGTTTGGTCGGCCGGCCACTGTTTCTGATCAATCGGCCACTTTTCCT